GCTAGTGAATTCTAGAATGAAAGACTTACGTGCCACTTTAAAGCCACAAAATACAGCTTTAACCCCATTAGAGGAATCTACACTTCAAAAAACAACAGAAGAAGGAACTAATAACAAAGTGGATTTTAAAAAATGCCAGGAACAACTTACCCAGAACTTTAATACCCAAATTTTGACCTCACTTAAAGACTTTACAACTACAACAGCAACAGAAACTGAACAAAGCAATGCTAAAATAGAACTTGCAGAGGATTTACGACAGTACACTGAGATTCTAGATAATCTAGATGATCTAAAAACAATGACAACATCGAACATGAATTTTCATCTACTTCAGCTGAAATCAGAAGAAGACCAGCCTGAATGTATGATAAATACAATAGCTCAGATATGGAGATTTAAACCATTTGGCCAACAATTCAACGACTGTGAAGCGACTGGCTTCCTTGATAGGCTGATGATTGGATGGTCTCCCCTGTTTCAAATGATACATCCAGGAAGGAAGGGAGAGCCACTTGAGGATCTAAAAGCTTTTTTATGGAAGCCGGCTTGGCATAAAAGGAAGGCCAGAGTTAGACTTAAAAAAATGGTTTTCCTTGTGTGATACCTAAGAGAAGAGCTTTAAACTTTATATAATGAGCAAAGGAGATTTTAAAAGATATTATTGGATTTAATAGTTAGGATCTATATCTATAAGGAAAATAAATTAGTTATTTAAATAATTGTTTTGAATTACAAATATAAGATGATTTAGAGGATAAAGGTTATTTTATGAGTAAGCGATGATATTAAAATGAGAATTAGAATATGATGGTGAAATAAATTAAGAATTTACTGGAATAAATAATAAGTGTATTTTAGATATGATATTATTTTATATGAATTAAGGGAACTGTGGGCTATCTGAAACTTAAACATTATTGGACAGTAAGCCAACTGGAATATTCTAATTGAAACCAGACAAAAGTTAAAAACAGGATTTGGAGATACATAATCTAAAGGTTGTTGATAAATGTTTTAAACGATTGAGTTATAACTATCAACCTACTAATTTGAATTTAGTTTAATGACTAAGGGAAACAGAGAGGAAATTTTTGATGATGTAAACTGATATATATATGGATAAGCGTGTTATTGGAGTATGTATTACCCAACCACCATGTTGCTTCCTCAAATACCCAAAGGTAAAAATGGAAAATTAAATAAAACTTGTTTTTTAAAAAAAGAATTTTCTGTATTCATATATGAATCCTATTCCAATATTTTTTGCTTTATCACACATCCACCATAAATGGTAAAAAGTCCCCTCTTTGCCTTTACATTTCCAACATTCATTTGAAATAACTTTATACATTTTTGATAACTTGTATTAAGTACCAACAATACATCCTCTTGTAAACGTTTTCTTTTAGATTGTAATGTAAGTTTTAATCTTTTATTCCAATATTTTCCCATTGTTCAAGCATTATATTATACCCAAAATTCCTTGCCCACTGAATCATATGTTTTACTTGTTCATTTTCCAGATTTAAATTCAATAACATTTTGTAAACTTTAGCAATAATATGTTCATCACTACCGCACAGTAGGCTTTCCAATTCATTTTTAACAAAATTAAACCTGTGATGGTGTACATATATGGTGTACATATATGCAATTGAAATCTTTCTTTCAATTGCATATATGTACACCAATGGCAGACATGATCTTCTGATTCTAGCTCCTGCTTGGATTTGAGGGTAGGTTCACCCAGGTTGAAAGATATTGTTGTTGTTAGTTGCAAAGTCGTGTCCGACCCATCGCGACCCCATGGACAACGTTCCTCCAGGCCTTCCTGTCTTCTACCATCTTCTGGAATCCATTTATTATAAGTCCACCAAATTGGCCTCATCACCATCTCTTTTCTAAAAAAGGCTCCTTGTGGGGAAACCCAAAGTGTTTTATATTTGATCCAAACTCTCAAAACGGCACGCCTGGTAAAATGATTATTAAAATCAACATTTACTTTGTCATACCACAGATAGCCATGCCAACCAAACCTTAATTCATGGCCTTCCAGTAACCTTCCAATTCACCCATTCTTTTAGCCAGACCAAACAACAAGCATCAAAATACAGTTTCAAATCAGGAAAACCCAAACCCCCTCTTTCCTTAGCATCTTGCAATAATGTATATCTAATTCTCGTTTTTCCCCCTGCCATATAAACTTAGAGATATCCCTCTGCCATTGGTTAAATGGAGTTTCAGTTGCAAGTACAGTATTTGAACAAGAAATTTGATATCTCGATAACGACAGCCAAACAAGCCGAAACCAGACTATGACTCAGAAGCATCCAAACAACACTAAAATGCTAATTTGCATCACACAGATGGTACTTAACACCAAAGCCTGCGGCCCAGTAACAACAATCATCCAATCAAACAGCCCAAAATCAGACCGTAACTCATAAATATCAGAACAAAAAACATTCATACCAATTTGCATCACATAAAAAGGTATTTAAAGGCCAGTGTTCTGACAGACAAGCACAATTCAAAGCACACTGACGATGTCTCCTCGAATGGTGACAAAAAGTTTGCAACCAAATTGCCAAGCTCAGAATTCAAACCAACAGCCTAGTCATCTAAATGTTTATGTCTTCTGAAATCTATTCCTGACGGGATTTTTTGCATTGACAGTTGATGAAAGCTTGAGGTATATTGAAAAGATAAATAAATGATATACTAAAAACAGCATGTTTTCATGGATATGAATGACAAATGTTTTTCCCCGCTGCCTCAGGTGTCTGGGATTTGTTGCTATTTTTGTATTATTCAGTAACACAAATCTCTTCTGTTGTATAGTATGGGAGCAGTGCTATTTAAAGAACAATGAATAATAATTTGATACAGAATTGCTGAACGTTGTTCAACTATCTAAATGGAATATTACAATATATGAATGATTTTCTACATTCATTTAAATAATCAAAGATGGCATGCACATTTGGAGTTTAGCTATTCCACATAAACCATCACAAAATGACTTCCTTGGGATGTAGCCAATTACAATCCACCTGTCTCCAGAAAGGCAGACTAATACTAAAAGGTAAATGAACTACGGTAAGAGCCTGCCTATAAAATAGAGTTCTAAACCTCAAAATAGAAACCCACAACTTTTTATTTCAGATTATTTCCTTGTTTATGAGAGCACATACAACTGTATATATAAGTAAAAACATCTTCCTTATTCATATGCTTATGAAACTCATCCTACCATCATGTTCCTTTACAACAGTGGTTCTCAACCTTTCTAATGCCGTGACCCCATAATACAGTTCCCCACGTTGTGGTGACCCCCAAGTGGGTGTGGCAATAAGAGGGAGTAGGACAGCTAGGGAAAAGGGAAAAAAATGGTGGACAGCGTGGTTTGGCGACCCCCATGAAATGGTCGTTCGACCCCAAATGGGGTCCCGACCCACAGGTTGAGAACCACTGCTTTATAACCTCCCTCACATCTCCCGTTGCTCTCAAATTCTCTACATCCCATTTTTTCAGACTCTGCTTTTCACCATAGTATGTTGTGCTTTTTCAAATTAGATGCCTTATTTTTTCCCACTAACATTGAACAGGCTTCAATTCTTTTCTGGTGTATTTCCAAAGTCTTTCCTGCTATTATCTCCCTGCAGGAAGAGCACTGGAATCAGTCACTGCTCTTTCAAGAGGTGTGGGTGGGATGCTGATTTGTACTAGTCCAACATCTTTATCTTCTAACAAGTTTTAAAATTCACATAAAGCCGAAAGTAATTCTTTGAATAAAGTCAGCAATAGCTGAAGGAGTTGAAGAACTTCTGAATTATTTAAGAAAAAAAAAATAGGGATCAACAGGAAATGTTCAAATTCAGGAGAAGAAGCCATTATGTGTAATGGTATCTATTTGAAATCTATATTTTGGATGATTTTATAATCAATTATAGGGGAGAGCCAATTGGTGATGTGGTTAAGACACCAGGCTAGAGACCAGAAGTTTTGGTCTTGCCTTAGGCCAAAACCAACTGGATGACCTTGGGAAAGTCCCTTTCTCTTACTTCTAGAAAGGAGATAATGGCAAACCACTTCTGAAATATTGCCAAAAAAAAATGCAGGGACTCAACCAGTCAGTCACCCGCAGTTAAAAACTGACTCAAAGGTGCATGGATACTATTCCATAAACTGTAGAAGAAATTTCTTTCAAAATTTCCCCTATAGTTTATTTAAATTAGAGACCATCTCACAAATCCAGTGAAGCATAGATTCTTTATTATAATATTGGAAGCAGCCAAGCAAATTCTAAAAGGGACAGAGATGAAAATTCTCTATAGTTTTGCAAATTAGGATTATACCTGTAATCTCTACAGCAGAATAAAGCATTGGATATAGCAGTACATGGATAATGCTGAGGTAAGGCTAGAGAGGTAATGAGGTTTACAGTGCAAAAACCAATACCAAATGGGACAAAAGCCGTGTTCTTTGAATAAAAGTTACCACTGTGGTCCAGTGATATTTCTATTCCTGATCAACATCCGCAGAGCTCCTGTCTTGGAATTCTATTTTGTGGTTTGGGCAGTGGTGGGATTCAGCCAGTCCACACCACTTCGGCAGAACCGGCAGCTAATTTTTTGTTGCCTAGGACCAGAATGGACTTCTGGAAGTGGCAACCACACAAGAGAACCAGTTGTTCACATATTTGAATCCCACCACTGGGTTTGGGTGTATTTTCCATTTCCTTGCAGGTAGTTTTTTATATATATTTCCCACATAGAATACTGAAGAGTATACAGAAAAATCCAAAAATTATTGCTACAAACTTCTGCAGAATTCTTTTTTCCCCAAGTGCCTAAATTAGAAGACAGGGATGTGAGCCAGTTCTAGGCCCCAAATCCATTAGTAGTGGTGTATTCTTCCTGGAAAAAAATTAATAGCAGTGTTTAGAATTAGAGCATTCCATTCTACCTTTCAGATTTTATCAATATAAAAACAACAGCTTTTACGACAGGGAAATACTCTCCCTTGGTCTACCATCATTAAAACCAGAGCTCTGTGATTTTGTTACATTATCGAAGATATCTCTGACACACTCCTCTCAAAACTGAGTGGCTGTGGGTACAGGTTTTTGAACTGCCCAGATTTGGGGGATACTCTTTGATCTTGGATGATGTAATAGCCCCCCCCCCTCAAGGTTGGTACACATTCTGGGTGTCTTCCTGGACTTGTAGCTCCTTGCCTGATGAACAGGTGTCAACTGTGGCTAGGAAGGCCTTTGCAATTTTATGTGGTGTGCCAGTTGTGCCCTTTACAGGGTCATTCAGACAATTTGTCACACTCTAGTGACCTTGTGACTTGACCACATGGTGCTGTCCTTGAAGACCACCTTGAAGCTTTGTCTGGTCCAGAATGCAATGGGGCAAGCAGGAATGGACTTGCTCAGTATGCCCATGTAAGACCTCTACTTTACAAGCTCGCCGGTTGCCAGTTTGTTTCTGGGTATGATTTAAGTTACTGGTCATTACTTATAAAGCTCTACTGGTATATGGCCTGTTTGTTTTAGGAACTGCCTGTCTCCCATAACATCTGCCCAGCCAATTTGATCTTATAGATTTGATGCACTTGGGTTCCATCAATTAAATAATGTTATCCATCAGGACCCTGAAAGCACCCCTTCTTGGAAGAGGTGCCTTCCCTCTGGAAAGCAGTTCCCCCTGTGATCCAGATGGGCCCCATTCTGCTGTTGTTTAGAAGAGCCATAAAAACCTGGCTCTTCACCCAGGCCTTTGAGAAGGGAAGTAAGGCACCTTGCTTCTTTCCATCTGGTGTATTGTTCTTGCCATCTTCTATTAGCTTTATTGCAATTCCTTGTTTGAGTGTTGTAAGCCTCCCAGAGTCATTGGGCATTGGGCAGCATGCAAGGTTAATCAATCATTTTTTCTACAGCTGGCTGACAATTTATTTTTCCTGGAAAAGCAGATTTAGGGAGGGCTTATCTATTTGCCATACCAAACACTATTTTCTTTTTTCTTAAATAGAAAAAGTGAGACAGAGAGATGAAAACAGAGGAGGTGGGGTGTTTGTGATACATAATATCGTGTTTTTATGAAAATCTTTGTTTTATTGTTTTGGCACAAGATCCCGACTTATTAAGGCAGAGGAAGAAGCACAAGGATTGCTCTTTTTTGCTACATCTCCAGTAAACATTTTCTTTCTCTAATTAATTCAAAAACTATTTCCAGGTTACATTCTGACCTGGTTTGTACATTATATTACGAGTTTTCCTGCATGAATAATATATAGCAGCTCTTAAGGGCTTTGTTGGCCCTCTTCTCTGGCTATTTGGCTATTTGCATGCCATTTATATGATAGAGTCCTTCATACATGTGTAAATTGGCTTTTCCATTTGAACTTCCTGTAGTTAAAGAAACAGGATTTTTTAATACACATCTATAGGCCCAGTGATTTAAAAAAAATGTTTTTCCTTTCTTAGAATGCAGTATCTGGGGGTCAGATATAATAAGATCAGTTTTAGAGCACATTTCCTTCCTTTCCTTTTCACTCTTCATGGCATTAATGTATGGGCACCTATAATGCTCTCCATGAAAGTTAACTTCTCCTCCTACCAAGCACACACACAGAAAAACACTGACACAAAAACTCACCCTCTTTTCCCTTTCAACCTCTTTCAGAGTTTAACTGAGCCAAATGTCTAATTGCTGTAATTATAACAAGATTGCAATTTAGTAGACTGGGAATTTGGGTGAGGGAAAAACCAGTAGTTTGTATTTCCTTTCTGTCTTTGGGGTAGTTGTGTCAGCCACATACACTTGCCTTGTTTTTCAAATCTTTTTCATTTTTTTTTCCTTTGGCAAGCAACTAATTGTATAAATATATATTAACCATTTGGCTGACATAGCAAGCCTGACTTGGGATGGAGGACAGATGTTTTCATGAACTGATCAGTTTTGGAACAATTAAGATCTAAGCTTTGCTGGAATCTGCCCAGTGATACAGACAAAATAGAGCAGGCCACAGCTCAGGATGTTTATAGTTGTACAAAATGATCATTCCTAAAGGATGGGCTTTTTATTCTGCTTCATCAAGGGCTGGGTAGTGGCTGGACACTTATGTGTAAAGGACTAAGTCACTTTGTGATAAAATTTAGCATACTAGCTTAACTTCAAACCAAAATGTTAGCTAGTTTTCAATGAGTCTAGTGAATTTTAATTATTGCATAGTTATAATTAAAACTGAACAGAAAAGCATTTAAAAATGCAAAGTTAAAAAAATGAAATGATCATATTCCAGTCTTTAATGAATAGAAAAAATTAAAACTAATCCTATTGTGGGACTATTTCTAAAATTTGGAAAAAATATTAAAAAAATAAGCATCTCGTCTACAAACTACTAATAACAGGATATCTATCATATCACAAATTATTTGCAGGTATATAATTTACAAAACATACTAGGATTGATCTTGCTAACTTCGGAAAACTTCCTGTTCTTGTTTTTTCTTGTTTCTCTCATTCCCATGTAACTCCAAATTGCATTTGACATTATGGAAATCTATTCTAGTATTGCCACGGATCTTCCCAAGTTGTGTAATAAGATAATATTTAAAAAATATTTTACCAGAAATAATAGGTATCCTTTCAAAAGTAAAAATACCAATAGGCCATGAAGATCTGGATGGATAAACAAGGTCAGATTAAATTTTATCGAGATGGAGTTGTCATCCATCGATACAAGGGCAATCTACTAACGTTGGCTCTGATAGTTGCTCTGGATAGGATTATACATTTCCAAAAGGTGTTGGTTTGTGACCTAGGGGTCTCCTGGACTCTCAGGTCCTGTTTAAACAGCAAGTAGAAGTCATGGCTAAGATAGCTTTACATACTGTGGCCAGTGTACCATTTGTTGCACTACCTGGACCAAGTTGTTCCAGTTGCAATAGCCCATGCTTTAATCAATACTGTAACATATGCTAGATGGGGTTTGTTATGTCCTAAGCCTGCTGGAGTGGTGAGCAGGCTCAGAAATGTTGCAAACGGTCCCGGGCAAACCAAAAGCTGCCTGGGACCAGACTGGTCGGAACCAGCTTTGTGCGCATGCGCAAGGCGCGAAAATGGCCAGTTCCTATTGGTTAACATTTGTCGGGGTTTAGGGCCCTATAAAAAGGCCTGCATGCCTTTTGCTGTTTGCTTGGTTGTAGGAGAAGAGTAATAAAGAGCTTGTTTCACCATGTGTCTTCATCAATTGCCAGCGAACAGAAAACACAACAGGGTTGCCTTTATAAATGGCCTGAAACTACAACTGGTGTAAAAAGTTTGGCTAAACTTCTGATACACCACACCCATTCGGCTAAAATAACACCTATTTTAGAATCACTGCATCCATTGCCAGAAGGCTTCTGGACCAAATTCAGAAATGTAGTTATTACCGTTAAATCCTTTAATGGTTATTTATAACTGCAGATACATCAGGTAACGCCTTACCAAATTTGAATATTCCTATTTGGTCTGATCATCAAGAGAGCGCTTATTGCAAGTTTCCTTTCCTTGCAAGATACATGGCTTGGCAATAGGTCCTCATTTTATGAATTCTCTCTCCCAAGAGATATTGATGGCTCCTACTCTAGTGGTGTTTTGAAAACAAGACAAAGTATAATTGTTCCAGTGGGTACTTGGCCCTTTGATTAGATTAACTGAATGGTGCCCATAATGTGTTAAGCGTTTCATTATTTTTTTTTAATTACCTGGACTTGAGTTTTATAAATATTTTTGCTTCTGGCCATGTTTTACTCTAACCAAAGTCCATTTGGATTTTTCGTATCTGTAAAACAACATTTAAAGCCATACATATTTCACAAATAAATAAATAAATAAACCATTCACTTTTTTTGTTTACATGTAGGATCTTTGTCTTCTCATCTTTTGTGGGGGATGGATGCTTTATATTCAGGGTTAACACCCTTTCTTATAATATCGCTAACAGGTTAACAAAAGGCAAGAAGTTTTCTGCCTAATTCAAACTTTTCCCACCCATCGTGTATTCTGAAAAATCCAACACAACTGCAGAAAAAGAGATGACCACCTTGCAAGCAAAATAGGCCATTTCTCGGTCAAACAGCTGTGTGCAATTTAAAGGACCGCTGGAATTGGGCTCCCAGTAATAATTTAAGTAATATTTAGGTTATTATTTAAGCGACTTAGCCTTCCCCAAAAGCGGTCTTCCAGATGTGTTAGAATCTGGCTAGGAATTTGGGATCTTGTATTTCGACACATCTAAGGTCGCCCGATTGAAAAAGGAATGTAGTAAGCTGCCTTTTGCTCTTTTGTTACAACGTATTGGGTCGTCTTGAGCGCGTTTTAAAGTTTGCCTGACTTTTCGTTATCAAAGAAACAACCGAGTTTTAATGAACTTGCATTGCATTCTTTTCTGAAACTTTCCGATCCCTCTGGCAAAAAACAGCTGCTTTGACCGCCGAACGTCTTAAATGTTGCTTTACAGACGCTTTCGCCCCCAAAAGGAAGAAAACAAAATCGCATCTCGGAAGTTTCGTTTCCCAGCAATCCGACCGTCGCTCTCGTACCGCGCCTGTTAATATTTTCTCTTTAATCAGGGAGGATTGAGGAGAGCTGTCCTCGTGGAAAACTGCCACTGCGCAGGCGCAGCGTTGATTTTAAGAAGGGGGGCCGCGAGGGGGTTGCACGGGGTCCTGTTCGTTGGCGTCGTCCGCCTCCTTCTCCGGCTTAAACGCCCCGCCTCAGATGCCGTTGCCGCCGCCGCCCCTCCTCCTCCTCTTCCAGGCGCGTGTCTGACGGGCCGTCGGAACCGGCTGCAAGGCAGGGCCGGATGGATGGATCCCCGGGTTGCCTGGATCCAGCCCGAGCAGAAAGGCCCCGCCAATGCGCTCTGGATGCAGATCTGGGAGACCTCGCAGGGCCGGATCGGCGGCGCCGGCTCTTCGACGTCTTCGCCGTCCTCGTCGTCTTCGCCTGCCTTCCCGCCGACGGCCGCCGCCCGCTATTCCTTTTGCCGGTTTAGCCCGGCGGCAGTGGCGCCGCCTCCACCGCCCTACTCCGAGGCCGTTGCTGCTGCCGCTGGCGGACCTGTGTCGTCTCCTCAGCTGATCTCCAAGCCGGCTTCCCTGCGCCTTCTCCCTGCCCAGAGCGCGGAAAGACGAGCGCCGCGCCTGCTGCTCCTACAGAAGGCCCCGTCCGCGTCCTCCTCCTCCTCGGCCGAGTCTGGCGCTGACAGCCCCGGGGGTGGTTCTTCTTCGTCGCTCTCCTGCGTCCGGCCCGGACTTGGGCCGCCACCGCCGGCCTCGGTCAAAATCTTGGCAAGCACCGCTGAAGCGAATTCAGTGAAGCGAGAAGAGCTGGGGGAGGAGGGAAGAGGGCAGGCCCCGTGGGCCTCCGGCGTGGCCGTTACCGCCCCTTCTCCCCATCACCATTACCACCACCACCATCACCACCTCCACCATCAGTACCACCCTGGGCGCAGGAAACGAGAGAACAAGGCCAGCACGTATGGGATGAACTATCTGCTCTCAGGCGGCTGTGTCGGGACCGTCCGCAGGGGGACCGCCCCAGGTGGCGAAAATGGCCCGTGCTCTCCAGCGCAGGCCGGGTGCACCCTTGCTCTAGGCACGCCTTGGAAAAATAGGCAATACAGCTCAGGTATACAAGGGTGAGTATCGGGGTTTTCTAACTGGCGCACGTTGCCATACCTTCTCATTTTGCCATTTCAGTTGTCCTATCGGTACTGTGGTTTTCCGAATTGAGGCGAACAGTCAGATGGGGTCGAGGAAATAGGGGAATGGACTTTCTTCTTTCTGCCAGCAAGAAGACTCAGTTTGCATTGGAATGATGGGGTTGTGATGGAGAGAAAGCTAACTTTTCCTCTCTGGGTTGTTCTTATAGGTAGTATTTAAATGCTGTTTGTCCTATGGGGAAATACTAGTTCCAATAAGAGTTGGGGAAATACTTTTGGAGGGATAATTTGAGTAGTTGATGAAGCCTGGAAGAGGTTGGCTCCGTCCTCTATACTGCTCAATTCAAGATTCTGTTCAGAATGCATATTAATTTTTTATAAGCGTAAAGGTAGTCTTTGACTTATAACTGTAATGGAGTCTGTCCATCACCGTCATAAATTATGATGATTGTAAATTCAGGGTATCAGGTGACTGACCCTGTTTTGCATCAGTTGCTACCTTATATTTTGCCCAAAGTTGGATGTGAACTTCAGTTTTTGGCAAAAATGTGAACTGTAATCACGTGACAGTAAGATGGCTGTAAACTGCTGATGAGCACCTGAACTGATCATGGAAAAGGGAGTAGCTATTGGAACTTTGGAATTGGGTCGTAAGTACTTTTTGGGAGAGTCCGTCACAACTCTGATCCTAAGCTGAGGACTACCTGTACTTAATATGATGTCTAAAATAGTTAAAGTTAGTGGTGGCATAAAACATAAACAAGGTATTATAACCTGCTGTCCCTGAAACGTATAGTCAGGAATAATGTTTTACATGTAGTTTTAAGTGTAATTAAAAGTGTAAGTGTATTTTAAGTGTAATTCCTGAGACACTTTTTAAATACCTAACTAGCCACCTGGGCTTTTGAAAATTCTAATTTGTATTGGAAAGTTCAGTATGTGTAAAAAGTAAAATATACAATGTCCTCATTGGAGTGTGATCTAAAGCAAACTTCTGTTATACTTGGGTGACAGAAATTTAAGTTGTTGTGATTGGTCACACTGTCAACCAGATAGATAGACTAAATTTGACATTTGAGTCCTTCCCAAGAACTTGGGATATTCAGATGTTATTGTTTGATGGTAAGGTATTATTCAGAATGTAAGCTATTCCAGATAAAGCTGCCTTTGTAATTAACTAGATCAGGGCTTTTCAACCAGTGGTACGGGTACCACCTGTGGTACATTGGCACCTGGCAGGTAGTACGCGACCATCCTAGAAAAGTGGTAGCGGGGGAGGAGAATAAGCTGAACCGGTGGCAGCACCACACAAGCCTGAACGAGAGATGGCTGGAGCTGCAGGGCTGTCAGGGCTCAGCGGAAGCACCAGGATCAGCGCCAGGCTCCAGCTGTAGCTTGGCGCTGATCCTGGCGCTTCTGCTGAGCCCTGAAGAAGCACCAATCAGCTGGAAAGCAGCACTGATCCTGGTGCTTCTGCTGAGCCCAGAAGAAGTGCCAATCAGCTGGAATGTTGCAGCATCTCCAGGGTCTGGTGATTTACATTCAGATGCTTGGCAACTGATTCATATTTATGACGGTCACAGTGTCCCAGGGTCATGTGAAGTGACCAAAACCTGCTGCAACCACCCAGCAGATGGGAGGAATAAAAACCAAAACACCTCCCCACCCCATCCCCACTGCCAATCCTCAACAGAAATGCTCACAACAATGAAAACCTTGGACAGGAGGAAGAGCGCGGCCGGGGGCACTTTCTTCAGCGCCATTGTAACTTCGAACAATCACTAAGCGAACTGTTGTAAGTCGAGGACTACCTGTACTTTAAAACTTTTTTCCTTTTTTTTTTTTTAGTCATCAAGTTTTTGACACCTTGCTAGGCGACTAGTGGTACTCGGATGTTGCCATATCCTAAAAGTGGTACAATGGGTGAAAAGATTGAAAAGCCCTGAACTAGATGGTGTTTTTGTCAATGCCGATTGTGTTCAAGTAGTGCTCCAGATGATTTCAGATTGCATCCAAGGGTGTCTATTACTCTTGCTATTATTAAAAACAAAATATAAATAACTCATGCTAGGTCCGTAAGCATAACTACAAAACTACTATTTATTGGTTATTTAATACATATGGTAGCATAGCTTGGATTCTGTGTGGCATACATCAGTTTAAAATGTTTTAATTCAAGAAAGGAAAAATCGTTGCTCAATTAAAATTCCAGCTGTAGGTGGGATCTTCTGCTACCCTATGCCCAATATGCTGGGAAACCAAGTTTTTACTATCTTTCCAGAAGCCAACAAGATTGGGATTAAATATATGCTAGAGGAAGGAAGAGATAGGTGTTGCACTGGAAAAGGCACACCTCTTTTGTGCTATTAGGTACTATTGTTTCAGTGAAGGAATTGGAAGTGAGCCCTTCCTATGAGAATATGTGGGACAGTAGAAAATAATCTGAGAAAGATGGTCCTGCAGGTACCCTAGTCCCCTGTATTACATAGGGCATTATGTGTGATTATCGGTAACTTTCATTGGACTCAGAAGCCTAGTGGGAGCTAGAGCAGTTCATAAAGTAGTTAAGTGGATGTACGGAGGTATGCCCATGAGGACCTGGGCTGTTTTATTATGAAATAATTTTAGCTTCTGGATGGTTTACAAGGGTAACTCCATGTTCAGTGAATTGCACTGTCTAATTTGGTAGCAATAAAGAATGATGGATCACAAACAGGATTTGCCAAATCAGGAATGGTACAATTGGTACACAAAACAAAGTTGTATGAAAGCCCTCCTGGCCACAGCTGCCATCTGCTCAAGCAAGGACTATGAATCCAGAAGAGCCCCCAAATTACATGCAGTTCTAAGTGGGGAAGTATAAATCCCCTTCCTGGGACCAAATACAGAAAAATCTCCACTAGAATTAGGGGCTCCAACCACAGGTTGTATTAGGGTTGAGCTGAAGCCTGTTCTCCATTCAATCATCTATAACATCCAGACATTGGGCCAAAACCTTGACAAACGCTTGGTCAGCTAAGAGAAGAGTTACACAATTGAGTATCAATATAATGAGAAATGGGAGAAAGTGGACCCATGAGGCACTCATAAACAGGAGACTTGTTTTATGTCTAGATTATTTACTCCAACACCAACCTGCTGATGTTTCAAAAACCTAGCTCTTTGCGCAGGCCTTTGGCAATGATGACTGGAGTCCCCTTGGATTATGTTGGTTTGTTTCTTTTTCATTATTTAAGTTTCTTATAATTGCCATCTTTTATTTTGTTTCTTACTGTATTTTTTTTCTTATTTTTGATACTTTTTCTTGTGAGCTGTCCAGAGTTGTTGGGAGATGGCAGGTATATTTAATAAATAATTTAGATCAGCCCTAGAGGAAAGAGTACAGACAGTAATGGTAATTGGAACCAGGAACTCCATTGCTAAGCAATTTGGTTGTAAACTGCAACATCACATGACTTTCCCACTTACGATAACATTTCTGGCAATTGCAATTATTAAAGAAATTCTGCATTATCATTAACATGTCCATTTGTAACCTCCTAATGGCTTCACCATTGATGCTGCTTGTCAGAAGCTGGCAATGAAATCATAGATGGCAGTCTGTGACTGTGGGACACTACGACCAATTGCCAAGCACCCAGATTGTGATCATGTGACTGTGGGACACTACGACCAATTGCCAAGCATCAATTGCCAATTGCCAAGCACTACGACACTACGACCAATTGCCAAGCACCCAGATTGTGGTCATGTGATTCTGGGGAAGCAATAACCATCACTTCAAGGACCAGATACAAGTCTCCTATTCAGTGTCATCATAACTTTGAATAATTATTAATGAACAACTACCTGTAATATCACGTTTGATAATACCACATTCAATATTGTTTCAGACAAATTCATAATAAATTACTTTCTTATACTTCTTAATTTCAATGGGACATGTTTCTCTCTTGGATTGATTTTAATATGCTTAAAACAATTTGCCACGATTTCCAGTCATCCCTCTAAAGTAATAAGAATGCTACCAGTTCTACTGTTGTTACTTGTAAAGTCACTTATTTAATTCTGTTTCAAATAACATTATTTCCCCCCAAAAAAAGTTTTGTCATAGTCCGTACAGACGGAATCCATCAGACTGAGAGTGCTTGTGACTTTTTTATAACAAGCAACTATGAAATATAAAATAAGAACAATGATATTTTCATATGTTTATCTCTTCCCCTTTCTGTTTCTGCTCTTTATTTTACTAGACTCTATTGTTAGATTGTGTAAGATTTTTGGTGTCTCTTCTACCAAATGCAAGGAGGCAGACGCTTTTGTACAAAATTTTGTGGGCTTCTTGTATTTAATAGTATTAAATATTTTAATTTTTAAAAAATATGTTGTAATTAAATCATAAAAATAAACATGCAGTATTTGAAAATTATCTTTAAAAAAACAAGCCAGATAATAGACAACAAATACAATAAAATAGTAGAAGACCATTTGAGAAAATACTAACCTTAACAAATTGCTCATTTAACTTTGTGGAATTATTAACTTTCTGTATATTGCTTTTATTATATAGTTTCAAGATTGTTTCTTTTTTTAACAAGTATTTCTTGATTCTTATGGCATAGTTAGCATAATTTTACTCACAATATTTATAAATTACTCTTTCCTTCCTGGCTTCACTGTAATGATAGGTCACATTAATTTTTAATGGTTAGGTATTATATGACACTTTCAAAGTAATTTATTTCGAATGAAAGCAAATATACGTGTCCCAGAATAATGTTGCAGGATCCAATCTGGGTCGGTCACTGGGACCAGAGGTTTAGTCTTCTGAGCTTTCAGACTCGTACTGGAGTCCATCCTCAGAGAACTTATTGCTAGCAAAATGTGTGCTTTGGGCTATTTTGTGTATGGTTATGTGGGGCTTTTTATAATAATAAAGTTGGAAGGGACCTTGGAGGTCATCTAGTCCAACTCCC